TTTAAAGACTTATAAGACTACCTACCTTACCTTTTGTGTGTGCGCCGCGCGTGCACGTCCTATTGACTGTGCTGCACAAAGTGTTTGACGATCAAAATGTATATCTGACAATCTAAAGAAAGAAATCTAATACTACGATTATAAGTTACAGATACCTGCTGAAGCTGTTGTATCTTGTTTTAGTAATGGCTGGGGGTGTTTTAATTCCTTTTTATTTATTTTTTTATTTTGGAAGAACTTTGATAGCATCCATTTTACTCGTTCATTACTAACTTCTTGCACATCAACAAACACCTGGCTCCAAAATATTCAATTTCATTGGCTGGATCGTACAAGACCGCCGAGCTTCTCATCGATGGTTGGCCAGTTTACATGTCAGTCAGAAGCACTAGCCTGAGTGGGCGGTTCTTGTCGGTTGTGAATGTCAATGCGTATGTTGACGGACGCTGTGATGCGAGAGTCGAGAAATATACATTTAATTAATTAAATTCTCTCAGTGATGGTGTGTACAATGCAAGGAAATAAAAACATTCGGGGCTTTACTGAAAAAACAGCCCCCTTAGCCCACCCCTAGCGCCGCCCCTGTCTGCGATATTCTGTTGAAAATGGAGTTTAATCGCCCTCCTGTGGTGAACTGTGTGAATTACACTGCTGAACCGTATTCAGAGCGCCAGAGGAAAACTGCACTAAACTCTGCACTTACTTTGCATTTATTTCACATTGTTTGATAAATTATTAATTTAAAGCGACATAGTAAAAAAAATATAGAAAAGTTCGCTTTTGTTTAATGGAAATATATTCTTATATCTGTAATATCAATTTAAAGACTCACGTCTAAACGCCCTCCTGTGGTGAATTGTGTGCATTACACTGCTGTTAATTATCTAATTTCTGTTAACCTTCAGGGATGGGCAGTATTTCAGATACATGTATTTAAAATACGTATTTGAAATACAAAATACTATTTTGTATTTTGTATTTTAAAGCCTTTGAAAAAAATCAAATGTAGTTTGTATTTAAATACATTTAGGATGAGTATTTTAGTATTTTCAAAATACTCAAAATACTTTGAGCCAGAATCCTAGAAGATCAGAGGAAGGATTTGGACATCTTGAACCAGTATCCACTTATTAGACAGCTGTTTGTGAGGTTCAACACAATCATTCCCTCTTCAGCTCCTGTAGAGCGCTTGTTTTCCTTTGCGGGTCTAATCGGTACATTTTATTTGAAGGGGTGTGCATAAGACTGACATGACACTGTCATAAACATGACATAACACCTGTCATGAACATGAAGGAGTCTTTATGAATGTTTATGCCTTTTGTCATTAAGTGTCATTCGGTAAATTATGACAATTTTAATGCAAAGTTGACATTGTTTAAAATGTCTTTGTTACGACAACTTGACATTAACAAAGACAAAAAATGTCTTGATTATGACAACTTGACAATAACAAAGACAGAAATGTCTTTGTTATGACAACTTGACATTAACCAAGAAATCATAACCTGTCAACCTGCCATGTTTATACCTAGTCCAACGTGTTCCACTTTACTTGAGGTAAGGGGAAATATTAATGACACTGTTGTTAAAACATTTGACAGTGTAATAACCCTTAATGACATCTTTATAAGTAGTACAATGTGTTCCACTTTACTTGAGGACAAGTAAAATATTCATGTCACAGTTATAATGGTGTCATGACGGCAAAGTCAAAACCAACCACATATGACAGTAATGTAATGTTAACGCAAAGCTAAATAACTTCTTTAAGTTTGATAATTAGACCTGTTATGACATTTGTGACAGGTTATGATTTCTTGGTTAATGTCAAGTTTTCATAACAAAGACATTTTAAACAATGTCAACTTTGCATTAAAAGTGTCATGTTTATGACAGTGTCATTTCAGTCTTATGCACACCCCTTCAAATAAAGTGTTACCGTTTAATCAATAGGCCACACAGACGACGTCTTAAACCCAAACTTTTTGAAAAGCTGGTGGTGCTAAAGGGAATCGAATAGATAGATGTCTGAAACACATAGGTACACCACCTGGAGGAGCAGTAGAATATCATGTTTAAAGCAGTTTTTCCAAAGATAAAGTTTGGATCAATGTTCCAGAAACTGTTTGGATTTTCCACAAATCTTTTAATCCAGTTGATTTTTAATATCTCATTGAAAAGTGAGAAGTCAATTACCGATAAACCCGCCTCCTCAATTTTATTAGTCAAGATGTTTTTCCTGATTTTATGAGGCTTCTTCCTCCATATAAGTTATATAATAGTTTGTCTAGATTGGCACATTGTAACTTATGAATTTCTATTGATGTAAATAAATCTGCAGCTCGTGAGACCTTCTGCTTTAGAAAGAAGAACCTGCCATACGTAGATATATCTCTTGATCCAAGAGTCAAACTTTAATGAATATAGTCGTGTAGTAAAGAAATATTACTCTCTGTCATCAACTTTTGATTAGGACTGATTTGTATTCCATTATAAGTTACTAAATTCTTTATATTGATGCCACATATTTGACCCGAATGCTTATTTTTAACAGAAAACTGCTGACATTTTGAAAGATTCAGATTCAAGCCTGAGCTCTCAGAAAATTGGCTTACAACATTTAGTTCAACTCCTATTTGGGATTCATTTTTTAGAAACAGGGTTGTGTCATCAGCCAGCGGTCAGATTTGTATTTCTCTTTCATTTAATGTAATTCTTTTGAATGAACTCTTGTGAATTAAATGACAGAGAGTTTGAGCTTCAATCCCCAATAGAAGAGGCGAGGTGGGGCAGTCTTGGCGGAGACCTTTGTGTGTGTGAAATCTAGATGAGTTTCCATTAGCCGATCAAACACAACTGTTTCCTCATGTACAGAGTTTATACAGCATTAATACAATTCTTACCAAAACTAAAACAGTTTAAAGTGTCAATAATAAACTTGTGGCTTACCGTGTCAAAGGCTTTTTGAAAGTCTAAGAATAAAATAAGGTGTTGTTCATCATCTAGAAAGTCTTTGTATGCAATCAGATCCAGAAGCGAATGTTATTGGTTATGTGACGATCTTTCATGAAACCAGATCGGCATTCATCAATTAAAGTGTGTAATTTAGATTTGAAGCGTTTTGCTAAGATAGATGCTAGAATCTCAGAGTCATTATTTAGCAATGTAATGGGTCGTCGATTGTCAATGAACAGCGAGTGTGTGTGAGGTTTTAGATGAAGTGTGTGTCGCCTCAGAGAAGGAGGAAGATCCCTCTGTCAAGATATTCTCTGAAGACAGCCAAAAGAAATTTACCTCAGAGAAACATTTCTACATCTCAGAGCTCAGACCATCACAGCCTGGGGATTTATTGTTCTTTAATTGAGTTATTCCCCAAATAATCTCCTCAAGAGTTATGTCCTGACAGCAGATTTGATTATATTCATTACAGTCATTATTTAGCAATGTAATGGGTCTCCGCTGCCCTGCTGAAAATGTGAAGCAGAAACGCTTAATATCAGATAACGTCCATAATAATTGTACTTTGGGTTTGATTTTTTTGACCGTTGTCATATTGTCAACATGGCCGGCTACTTGAAGCAGAATAGTGGGCCATATATGTCTAATGCTTTTAAAAACCTAAGGCTTTCTTCTTCATATTTTTTTTATTTATTTTTTACTTATTTATTTACATTAGTAATCTACATGACATCATCTTTCAAAACATGACCTGCGCGAAAGAGAAAAATAAATGAATGTGTCTCTGTCCCCAGCACATTTCAGACCACACTGACGCCCATGGGTTCACATTCAGATTCACAGTGATTACTGTCCCTCATCTTTGACAAAACTGGCCCTGATTTGTTTTAAGATAACTGGGTCACATTTGCTGCAACATATGTGGGTCATGTTTGATTTACACCCAGATTAGTCACTGTCGATTGTGCCACATTTTTGCCATAGGTGGCCCACATTTGGTTTGTGATATTTGGGCCATATTCATTATTTATCATATGGGACACTTTAGGCCCACATTCAGATTACACATTGCCATGAGTGCCGCATCTTTGCCTAAAAAGGCCCACATGTGATTTAAGATATTTGGGCCATATTTGCCATTTTACACGTGGGCCACTTCAGGCTCACACACATTTTGTCGGGCCATAAGAAGGCCTGCAGTGCCGCATCATCGCCTGAAGTGGCCCACATCCGTCTGCTATCTGAGGAGCGAGTGAAACACACACAAATGCTGTTAACTGGGGAAAATGTTTAGTCGGTCTGTAGAGTAGAAGAGACTTCATCCACTGAACAAAGAGAATATACTTTACATCTGTCCATCAGCAACACACACACACACACACACACACACAACTAACTTCATATACAATGAAACAATAACAATACATTTATTCTGTGTATAAAATGTTAGAGAGATAATGTAAATGATTAAAAGTTACATATAAACTTTATATCTTTTGAAACATTTATGTGCTACACTTGTCAATCACGTTCATGTAATTAGAAATATCTGAATAATTCTGGATGAGTTTAGTCTAAACATTATTATATTTGCAGGCCTGATAGTGAAGATTTCTGCTGACACTCATCTGAGCTTCTTCCTCTGTTCCACCTTTAATTACAACTAAACCATCATTTGGCTGAATAATAAACCAACATTAATCATTCAATATCACATGTTTCTAATACGCATGCTAACACACACGCTGCTTTATTTAATAGTGAAGTCTGAGTCTCTTCCACCTGTATGAAACACATTTACACATGTATTTCTCCTCATAGACAGCAGTGAGACTCTTCTGTGGATCACCTGATGGTTTCTGCTCCTCTCATCTCCGTTTCACAGATTTAAACCTTGATGTCAATCCACTGACGTTTGATGATCAATCTTCATCTACTCCGTAAAGTGGAACAGAAGAGAAAACAATCAGTGTTCAGTGAAACAAAGTGCTGTTTTTCTTTAGTAAAAGTAAAGTTAAATTGAATTCCTGTAATCAGATTAATTACTGACTTTACATGATCTTGGATAGAGATATTTGTGTTTTTAAATATAATAGATGTAAAGCCTGAATCATGTTCATATGTGTGTCTGTGTGTGTCTGTGTGACTCCTATTGAGTCTCTGTAAAGGAGAAACTAATGAGTGTACGGCGTATGGAATAAACCACAGCGAGCAAATACTAATGTTATTTTGAGTTAAACACAAACCTTTAGTTAAAGCCGTTTGTCCTCTAGTTTAAACATGTTTGTAGGCTCTTAGTAAATAACTGAGAGTAAAGTAAGTGTCGAGTAGTGTGACGTGTTGCTTGTCACAGTAAAAACACACTAGAGACAGAGACATTGCTCATGTGAGCTGGACGCTGTGAGCTGAAGCTGGAACTGCACTGATTTTAGCAGGAGTGCAGCGTTTCCTACAATCTGACCAAGTCTGTTTCACACTCAAATGATTCACTTCTACTGACACAGTTCATAAAGCAGGTGTTGATGTATAAAGCTGTGACAGTGAGCTTTTCTTCTCTTTCCTCCTTTGTGTTCAACATTTCAATAACTTCACATTATGTTCTCACACAAACCCTTTGTTGCAACAAATCTTAATGATAATTTCCTTTCACGAATGTTTGAAAGGATTGTTCACATATCAGAGGTAAATGAAGATGTCTTTAATATCTCAGTGATGTTTCCTCACCTCAGGACACAGTTTGAGTCTCGTAGCTCGTCTCTGAGCCGCCGCTTTGAGTCTCCGATCTTATTGAAACTCAGATCAAGCTCTTTTAAAAACTGCAGAGCTTTTGAGTTCGTCAAAGACTGAGTTAAAGAAGAAACATCTGTAATGCCACAGCTCTGTAGACTAGAGAGACACAAACAGAGGAAGAGAGATTATCTTACAAACAAATCATGAATGTGAAGAATTTTACACAGATATAATGTGAACTCAGACTCACTGTCAGATATTGAGAATAAAGTGTTTTAGTTTAATAAACCCAGAAAGTGCACTGCTATAACCAATGAAACATAAGCCCTGCTGTCTTCAAATAAATAAACTTCAGTCACACTGTAATTGCTGTACAGTATAATGACACTAACTCTAGTTTCTCCAGCTTGAATTGTGGGTTCATCAGTAGATCACTGAGGTGCTTCACTCCAGAGTCTCCTAGATTATTCCCGCTCAGGTCCAGATCTCTCAGGTGTGACGGTTTTGATTTCAGAGCTGAAGTCACATCAGAACAACCTTCATCTGTCATATAACAGTCTCTTAACCTACATTAGCAGAGAGAGAGAGAGAGAGAAGAGAGAGAGAGAGAGAGAGAGAGAGAGAGAGAGAGAGAGAGAGAGAGAGAGAGAGAAAGAGAGAGAGAGATTGAAACAACCTTTATTTACAACATACAGATAAAACCAGTCTTTTACCACTAGCAAACTTTGTTACAAAATCTCAATTACGGGGAAAAAAACAAAAAACAAAACAAAAAAACAAACCAAAAAAGAAAGAAACAACAACGACATACTGACTTAAAAAGTCAACAGTAAATCATCATTTTCATCAATTCTACATAACGCATCATTTATGGCCCAAGTATTCACAAACATTGGTAAGCACCCAACCAAAGTATAGTATGCATACTCTATCCTGAGCCTTGATGCAACCAAACCCTTAAACATCAGCAAAGGATCTAAAGTATCTTTACCAAGCATCTTATTTTTCCTTGTTTTCCAAATACTGAGTTTGGCAGTTCCAAACACAAAATTTAGTAAAACCAAAACATGTTTACGGCTAGTGACATACCTTGGCCCAAAAATAAACAATTGAGGAGATAAATCCTCACCTAAAGCTGATACCCATTGGGATAAAAGAGAGAACAAATTACCCAACCGTTCACATTGCACAAAAAGATGAAAAATATTTTCGTTTTCAGAACAAAATAAACAATCCACCTCTACATTTGGATTGAGGTGCACCACATGTCTGTTCGTAGCTATTGCACTGTGTACTATCCTCCATTGTAAATCACCAGTCCGTTTATCAATGGGGCGTTTATACAGTGACCGCCAGCTACCCCTAGGGGAAAAATCCACTCCAAAAAAATCTGTCCATTTAGATGACTTCACTCCGGACAGAAGATGTATATTGGTCACTTTCACACAAGTCACATACAGAGCCTTTTTCCCCACAGACTCAAAAGTATCCAGCTGAGGAGTTTTAAAAGACAATATGAGATTTTCCTCCTCCTGCCATCCCTGTACATCAGCAGCGATCTTCAAGGAAGGAAAAGCATATTCACGTACAGCCATCCACTCTTTAACATGGTTCGAGTTATTAACAAAAAGGATCTGATCATGATTCAGCTCTCCAAGCACCTCGTCAGTCATTTGTTTCAAAAACCGAGCAGATTTTATCCCAGTTCTCTCACTCAGGGTCTCCAAACTGACGCTTAGGATATGTCCAAGTTTTACACATCCAGCCGCTATCAGTCGTGATGAGACATTGACAGAGCACAAATGTCTCGAAGGTAAAAAGGGATTCTGAAACAATGGCTCCTCCATCAGCCAAAAACCTGCATGTATTCCAGCAGGTCTTGAGACAGAAAAAACTTTCCAGGCTTCCATCACAGATCTGTAGAATGGAGTCAAATCTGCTAAAGTTCTTTCATTCAGAGTCAATAAAAAGAGATGTTTATCAAGTCCCATGTTGCCTGCTTTCCTCAAAAGTGCAACTGCAGTGTTAGACCAAGCAATATCGCCATAGTACAGCAGTCTCTGAGCAGCTTGCAGACGAAAGGCCATGAGTCTTGATCTGATATCCACAAGACCTTGCCCCCCTTCTTGCACTGGCAAAAAAAGTACAGCTGATCGGACCCAATGCTGTCCTGACCAAAAAAAATTAACCAGCATCCTTTGAATGTCTTGAACTAGTCCAACGGGAGGCTGTAACACAATAAATTTATGCCACAGCGCGGAAGCGACCAAATTATTGGCAACTAAAACTCTCCCCCTGTAGGATAGCTGGGGTAGCAACCAGTTCCATTTAGACAATCGGGTGCACACTCTCTCCAAAACTCCCTCCCAATTTTTCTTCTGAAACTCTTCTGATCCCAAAAACACACCAAGCAATTTTAGCCCTGCTCTATTCCAGTTTAAAGTACCTGGTAGTTTTGGGAGATTTTCAAAATGTCTTTGCCCTGACCAAAAAGCTTCAGTCTTATCCCAGTTTACTTTAGCTGATGATGCCCCTTCATACAACTCAAGTGCTCTAGACAAAGCTTTTACATCATTATCATCATTAACAAAGACTGTTAAATCATCAGCATAGGCGGTAATTTTAGTTCTTAAACCTAGATGCATTGTGGGTATTGATAAACCATTTAAAGTTTTTCTTATATTAAAAAAGTAAGGGCTCAATGGCGATACTATACAATTGCCCCGATAGAGGGCAACCCTGTCTGATGCCCCTTGACACCACAATGGGTCGACTCAGGCCACCCCCACCTTGACCATACAAGAAGCTCCAGCGTACAACAAGCGTATCCACTTGATAAAATCCTGACCAAACCCGAATGCAGCAAGTAGATTAAAAATATAATGATGATCAACACGATCAAAAGCTTTCTCTTGATCTAAAGCAATCAATCCCACTTCTGCATTAAACATTTTACAGATATCCAAGGTATCTCTTACTAAAAACAGGTTATCCATAATAGATCTTTTTGGAATGCAATAGGTTTGGTCTTGATGAATTATCAAATGTAAAAACTCCTTAAGTCTATTTGACAGACATTTAGACAAGATTTTATACTCTGTTGTTAACAAAGCAACAGGTCTCCAGTTCCTCAACAGAGTCAAGTCTCCCTTTTTGGGTAGTAGGGACAACACAGCACGTTGACATGTGGCAGGTAGAAAACCATCCTTATAACTTTCACAGAACACTTCATAAAGGTCCATTCCTATGTATTTCCAGAACTCTTTATAAAAATCAGAAGTCAACCCATCAATCCCCGGAGAACGTCCCGAATTCAATTGTCCAACAGCAATAGTGAGCTCTTGAAAGGTAATTTGTGTGTCCAAAGCATTCTTAGAACCAGAGTCTATTTGAGGAAGTCCTTGCAGAAGTTGTGCTGCATAACTAGAGTCACAATGCTCAGCTTTGTAGAGCGAAGAATAAAAATCAACAGCATGACGACGCATTTCCATAATGTCATATGTAATCTTTCCATCTGGAAGACGTAAACATGTCATTTGCTTAGATTGTGACACTGAGCGTTCTAAATTAAAAAAGAAAGCACTTGGGGCATCCATGTCAGTGACCGATGTGAAACGTGACCTCACCAAAGCTGCTTTCACCCTCTCATTCAGATGAACACTCAGCTGTTTCTTTTTCTGCTGTAAGTTATTAATACAATCTGGGTCATTTCTTATAATCATTTCTGCTTCTATCGACTCTATATCTCTTTCAAGAGCTTGAATTGTTTCTCTTTGAGTAGTTGTATAATATGCAGTGTATTGTTGACAACATAATTTTATTTGAGTTTTTCCAACCTCCCACCATTGCTTTAGATTTTCAAAATCATTTTTCTTCCCCTTCCAATGATTCCAAAAAAACTCAAAATGTTTGGAAAACGAAGCATCCCGCAACAGTTTGGCATTAAAATGCCAATAAGAAGATTTTCTTGGAATTTGTACCATAATTACTGAAATAAAAACCAGATGATGGTCAGAGAAACCTATCGGAGAAATAACACATTCAATAATCCTGTTATTAAAATTTTTTGAAGCATAAATTCTGTCTAAGCGAGCAGCACTAACTCTGTTATCAGATATTTTAACCCACGTATACTGTTTATCTGCTGGATGCTTAATTCTCCACATATCTAAAAGTTCAGCCTCTTTCACCAATCTTGACAAATAGTTAGATGAAGGCAAATGAGGCTCCACATTATTACGGTCAAAATTGAAACATTCAGTACAATTCCAATCCCCACCAATAATAATATCACCATCGCTAAAATCCTGTCTTAAAACATTAGCTAGCTTTATAAAAAACTGTAATCGCTCATTTCCTACATTCGGTGCGTAAACATTTATAAAATAAATTTTCATACCTTCAATAACAGTTTTTACAAGGAACAAGCGACCTTTTACAAATTCTTCAGTTTTTTCAATACTAACTTTTATAGCTGGAGAAAAAAGAACAGCAATTCCAGCGCTTACATTTGTACCATGGCTAAGTACGTGCTGACCTTTCCACCACATCCCCCACTCAACTTCATTATCCACATCGCTATGTGTTTCTTGTAATAGAATGACATGTAACTTTTTATCTTGCATAATTTCAGACACCAAAATTCTTTTTTGACCATCCCTCCCACCATTAATATTTAATGAACCCACCCTCAAAAGATCCATATTTAAGTTTAGGGAGGATAGAAAAAAAACAACAGCAGAAAAAAACAGAAGAAACAAAGAAGAGAACACCGCGTGATGCATGGCTAAAAATTTACAAAAACGCTTTCATCCTCTTCTTTTTATCCCCCATTCTACTTTTCCTAATGACTGTAACATGTTTCTTTAAACGAAAACGCTTCTTTTCACTCAGCTGATCAAGATTCACCGTCTTTTGAAGAACCGCCACTGACCTCTCAAATTTTCCTGTATCAGGGAAAAATTCTTTAATGTTGACTTGTTTTCCAAATGTCTCATCAAGGAACCCATTAATTTCCTCTAATGTATACAAAGAGGAGTCCTTGGTAGACATATCTTGAGAATCGCCGTCATGTCCACATACAGACCCTCCCTGGGAATCACATTCATAATCGATTGACACATTCTCGTCAGATGTATTGTCATCATCTACTACACTACCATCATTACTGAAACACAACTCTCTTTTTCTTGTAACCAACATAACAGCCTCACACCTGCTTGGCCCTGCAATTTCCACACCATCATCCTGCTGCTCATCAACATTGATATTTTGAACAGTATTTGCAATGTTTTCATTTTGCTGACGTTCAATCACATTAGTCACAGCATTCTCATGTACTTCACTGGCGGACGGCACCGCACCAGAATCGCTCACCTCAGCTGGACCTACATGTTCCTCTGGAGCCGCGCGCTCGCGCACCGCCGCATCTCCCTCTCCAGAGACAGTGACCCTCTGCCTATCCTCTGGTGCGCGCTCTCTGTGTGGGCATACAAACCTTTTATGCCCTAAATCGCCACAATCGAAGCACCTTAAGCTACCAGTGCTTGCGTACACCATATACGTTTTACCTTCGTCTCGTACTCGGAATGAAACATCCAGAGTGTTTTCAGGGGAGTCTAGAAACATAAACACCTGTCTTCTGAAAGATTGGACGTGTTTCAGAGATGGGTGTTTACAGCCTAACGCAATTGTTTTGAAACCACTGGCAAATTTACCAAAACGTACTAGTTCCCGCTCCAACGCTTCATCCGGAATGAAAGGTGGAACATTCGATACCGTGATTTTAACTGTCGGCGCGTATAACGGGGTAACCTGTACAAAGTTTTCATTAATGACTAGGCCATTCTCGATTAAACGATTAACGAGGTTTTGTTCTTTCAAGAACACCACTACAGCTTTATTCATACGGGAAGCGGAGACAATGTTCTCATGTCCTACTTCTCCTCCAGCCGAAATTAGCACTTCTTCAACTGTGACGCCATCCTCTGGCACACACCTGAAGCCATTGCGCAAGGACAAAGACGGCATCTCTTCATGAGACGCCATCTCTTCCCGCGCAATAACTGCAAAGAATAAAACTATATCACAACCTTACTTTTAACCATGCAGAAAAAAAAAACAACAAAAAAAACAACAAAAAAATCCCCGTAAGTGAAAAGCACCGCTCAGATCTCACTCAACCCTACCACTCACGCCAAACACCCGCACCGGAAGTGTGAGAGAGAGAGAGAGAGAGAGAGAGAGAGAGAGAGAGAGAATGAAGAAAATAAGAGACTCTTTATTCTGTAAAGTCACATCATCTTCATCAGCAAATAAAACAGACAGAGGAAGAGAGATCTTCATCTTTATTTCACCAGATCACAAAATAATAAGGTGAAAATGTTTGTACAAATATAATGTTAATGTGTTCTAGTTTAAACAGTTGAAGTGATTTTAAGCATTTTGATTCTTGTATGTGACTGACCTCAATCTCTCCAGTTTACAGTGTGAATCCTTCAGTACGGCACATAAGTGCTTCACTCCTGTGTTTCCTAGATAATTCCCGCTCAGGTCCAGCTCTCTCAGGTGTGACGGGTTTGATTTCAGAGCTGAAGTCAGGATGAGACTCTGTTTCTCTGTAATACTGCATCCACACAGACTGAAGACAGAGAAATAACAATAGTTCACATCTATGATGATCATCTTATTGAAGAGCTACAGGAGCATTTAGTTTCCAATAGTCTGTTTTAAAACCCAGTCACACTAGTTCTGTGCGCTGGAAGACACTGTTTCTTCTCTTTCATTTCTAACTATTTATTTGACGTCTCTCTTCTTTATTCTCTGATAAAAAGGCAGATTTCTGTGTGTACACAATCAGTACATTGTATCAGATGCTGGGAATTAAACAATTACTATCTACACTCTAAAAGGTTTTATATGATTTACTACATTTTTTTGGTGAAAAATGTTCACACTCAAAAATATTGATTCAATTCTAAAGCAGTGAAATCAATTACAATACACTGTATAAGCTAACTAGAAAAAAAGCACACAAAAATGTGTATAGGGAAACCCAGAAAGTGCACTGCTATAACCAATGAAACATAAGCCCTGCTGTCTTCAAATAAATAAACTTCAGTCACACTGTAATTCAGTGGTGGGCCGTCAGGGCCAGCAAGGCCTTCTCTACTGGCCTAAACACTATCAGAATCACTGACTTGCACTTTAATATATTTTTTGCATGAATATTAAATTTTTCCCAATAGTTCATTCTCTTAATTTCATAGCTTTTCTCTTGGTTGTGCTGCTTCCAGTATTGTGTTTTTATGTTAGAGATTGTATCCAATCATATTTCAGCCATCATGTGTTGCCGGGTAAATAAATCTGCCTGGAGGCCTTCAGAATCGACAGTGCAGGCGCCTGTAGCTTAAAATGAAAGGCAATGAAACTGTTTCTTTAACCAATCAGATAATCCGTCAGATTTAATCAGCCAATCAGATTTCACTTTTGACTGCAGCGGGGCCATCTAGCAGGCGTATAATAACATCTGTATTTTCTCGTTCTTTGATTGGATGCGCGTACTATTACTGGTAGTATCCGCATCTGTAGCGAACTGCATAAACTAAAATATATTCCTGTAGATGTAATAGATTTCAACCCACAAATTAATGTTTCTTTTCCTCCTCGACCCCCAGCAGAAAAAAATCCCTTATTCAGTCTGAGCTAAACGCAGAGTAACGGGACTCTATTCGATCTCTCCGGGTTAAAACAGAACAGATTAATGTAAGTTATGAAACGAATGATTTTGAAGGCAAAAGTCCCGCTGATCTCGTTGATTTCGGTCAAAACTCTGTGTGAGAGCATGGGGCAGCTGTACACATCGTCATGTTTTGCGGTGACTGTGTGCTTCTGTCGAACAGGCACTCTCAGCCATAAAGCAAATTAAAACTTATGCTAGAAATATGACGAGACAGACACAACATTATTGGAACTGAAACGCAGTTAGAACCTGTACGACAGTAATTGAAGTCTTCTTGAGGAAAGAAATAAGGATGGATTTTATGTAAAAAAATAATCTGTAGTTTTGGTGAGTATATGCTTTTCCCCCCGTGGTGAATATGATTTTCTTCGTAATTTTTTGTATAAATTTATGATCGAAACTTAATTTTTTTCAAACATTCATACTATTGTAACGTCTGAAAAGGGACTATTATAACCCTTGAACGACAAGATAAGTGAGGCTTCGTTTCTGAACTTATTATCGGATTCGGAACGCAAGAACCACTTTACAAACACACCAGCCGAACTCACGCGCTCGTTTCTCTCTACCGGCCTCTCCCGAACTCACCGCATTAATACAATAACTGCCGGTGCAAAATAAAAACAACAATTATAGAGAGTCTTTGCGCTGATACACTATTAAAAGTTATTAATTCAGGTGGGACAGATGGCCTAAATGCACGGCCCGCCACTTCTGTAATTTCTGTACAGTATAATGACACTAACCGTAGTTTCTCCAGCTTGAATTGTGGGTTCATCAGTAGATCACTGAGGTTTTTCACTCCTGAGTCTCCTAGTTTATTCTCGCTCAGGTCCAGCTCTCTCAGGTGTGACGGGTTTGATTTCAGAGCTGAAGACACATCAGAACAACCTTCATCTGTCATATAACAGCAGATTAACCTACATTAGCAGAGAGAGAGAGAGAGAGAGAGAGAGAGAGAGAGAGAGAGAGAGAGAGAGAGAGAGAGAATGAAGTCACATCAAAGTCACATTATCTTCATCAGCAAATAAAACAGACAGAGGAAGAGAGATCTTCACCTTTATTTCACCAGATCACAAAATACTAAAGTGAAAATGTTTGTACAAATATAATGTTAATTTGTTTTAGTTTAAACAGTTGAAGTGATTTTAAGCGTTTTGATTCTTGTATGTGAATGTGACTGACCTCAATCTCTCCAGTTTACAGTGTGAATCCTTCAGTACGGCACATAAGTGCTTCACTCCTGTGTTTCCTAGATTATTCACGCTCAGGTCCAGCTCTCTCAGGTGTGACGGGTTTGATTTCAGAGCTGAAGTCAGGATGAGACTCTGTTTCTCTGTAATACTGCATCCACACAGACTGAAGACAGAGAAATAACAATAGTTCACATCTATGATGATCATCTTATTGAAGAGCTACAGCAGCATTTAGTTTCCAATAGTCTGTTTTAAAACCCAGTCACACTAGTTCTGTGCGCTGGAAGACACTGTTTCTTCTCTTTCATTTCAAACTATTTATTTGACGTCTCTCTTCTTTATTCTCTGTTGAAAAGGCAGATTTCTGTGAGTACACAATCAGTGCATTGTATCAGATGCTGGGAATTAAACAATTACTATCTACACTCTAAAAGGTTTTATATGATTTACTAATTTATTTTTGTGAAACAATCAAAAATATTGATTACATTTTAAAGCAGTGAAATCAATTACAATACACTGTATAAACTGAGCAAATGCAAGTAAAAAATTAAGTAGATCTGAGTAACTGCATCTGTACATTAACAAATAAAATTGTTTTAACTGAGTAAATCTGCTCAATCTTTCAAGAGTATGTTAAATATATTTATGATACTGATTTCAATTAAGTAATATTTGTGGTTCTTGAAACATATAAGTTTAATTCTCCAATCTCAAATATTTTGATAGAAATTTCACAATTATGTTAAGTGTATTATACATAAATTATTGGTTAGTCAAATAATAAATTCTAATAGTGAAAAAAATAAATAAATATAACTGTAAATTTTAGATGAAATTAACTGTTGGATTTTTAGTCAATTATTTTGGTACGTTTATCTCAAACAATCAAGCAAATGATATTCAGAGATTTTATTAAGTTAATAAAGTTAAATATTACTGTGATATTTACTAAGCCACAGAATAATTACACACAGTGTAGATTAACAAAACATAAAAATGTGAGCAATAGGGAAACCCAGAAAGTGAACTGCTATAACCAATGAAACATAAGCCCTGCTGTCTTCAAATAAATAAACTTCAGTCACACTGTAATTGCTGTACAGTATAATGACACTAACTGTAGTTTCTCCAGCTTGAATTGTGGGTTCATCAGTAGATCACTGAGGGTTTTCACTCCAGAGTCTCCTAGATTATTCTCGCTCAGGTCCAGCTCTCTCAGGTGTGACGGGTTTGATTTCAGAGCTGAAGTCACATCAGAACAACCTTCATCTGTCATATAACAGTCTCTTAACCTACATTAGCAGAGAGAGAGAGAGAGAGAGAGAGAGAGAGAGAGAGAGAGAGAGAGAAAATGAAGAAAATAAGAGACTCTTTATTCTGTAAAGTCACATCATCTTCATCAGCAAATAAAACAGAGGAAGAGAGATCTTCATCTTCATCAGATCACAAAATACTAAAGTGAAAATGTTTGTAGAAATTTATTGTGAAATTAGACTCTGTGAGATATTGCGTATAAATATATACTGATATATTGAGTGAATAAATGAATATTGAGTGTTTTAGTTTAAACTTTTGATTCTTGTATGCATGATATACAATATCTGAGGTGGAAGTGTGCTTTCGGAGCGTGTGATTGGCTGAATGTGAGGTAGAAGTGTATGGAAGTAAAATAATGTCTAATGTTTTTGAAACAAAAAGCATGTTGAATTGCACCAATTAAAAAAAAAAGCATTGTGTTAACCCTGCTTGCATTTTAATCCATTGTATTTTTAAGGCTTACATTTTTATGGGCTGAAATTCAACATGGTTGAATATTTAAGCTGTGAATATTTCAATTAAAAATATTTTTCATTATTAAAAATTCAATAATCCATATTCACCTTTCATATTTCACTTCCAAAATTTTCAAACTGTTTAAAAATACAACCTATAATATTCAACAGGCAATTTTCGGTCCATTTTATTTCGCCTTGAAAATTCGCTTCCACAAATTCAGTGGTTCAAATTCGACAGTAAATTCAACGGTGACATCCAGAAACTGCAGGAAAAGCAGTAGATTACTGAGCATACTCTCTATCTGCTGTTAGACGGCTTTACCAGCAGGGGGTGCACGCGCATGTTGAAAAGCACCAAAGCAACAGGAGAGGCCTTCACAAAACCTCATTTGCTGAAATGGACAGAGCGATGAGTACGAGTTATAATTTATATGTGTGTGGGAAAGATTGATTAAGACACAAAACACACGAGCCTTTACTCAAGTGTCTTATGAGACTTATTTTTACCCCCGTGCAAAGTAAGGTGATTTGTCCACAGCAAAACTAATTTCTCTTGCCGTTGGCATTGATAGTAAAACAACTGTAATACACTGAGACAGAGTGAATTGTTTGTTATAGTCACTATGACGGAATACTAAATTTATTTATTTTTTTAACTTTAATGATGGAATAAATTGCTTTAAGTGTCAAAAACAGTCTCTCTCTCTCTCACACACACACACACTAACACACTCTCATCTCTCTCTCTCACACTAACACACTCTCCTCTCTCTCTCTCTCTCTCACACACACACACACACACACCTTATCCCGCGATTGTCATACAGTATTGTAAAAGTATGGAAGCAAATGAGAGACATAACTATTTGAAATTTAACAGCCACTGAATACTTGAATACTAGTTTTGTATTCAATTTTATTTTGAAAAACATTTGAAAAAATAAAATAATTTGTAATAAATTGCTTTAAGTGACAAAAACAGTCTCTCTCTCTCTAATCACTAACACACTCTCTCACACACACACACACACACACACGAACACACTCTCTCACACTAACACACACTCTCTCTCTCTCTCTCTCTCACACACACACACACACACACACACACACACACACACACACACACACACACACACACTAATGATTATCTTTGCCTCTTATCCCGCGATTGTCATACAGTATTGTAAAAGTATGGAAGCAAATGAGAGACATAACTATTTGAAATTTAACAGCCACTGAATACTTTTACTAGTTTTGAATACTAGTTTTGAATACTAGTTTTGTATTCAATTTTATTTTGAAAAACATTTGTCTGAATTTATTTGCTCGGAATTCACCCCTTTGAAATTATTTTACTATGGAAACCATGCGTCTGAATTTATTTGTTTCGAATTTACCTCTGAAATTTAAAGGTGCAATGTGCAATGTCAAAAAGTTGAGTATCTATTACAGTTTTTCTCGATTGTTTACACACATTTCCTGCAAGTATGCCTCATACTCTCAGAACTCTACACACAAATCTAAAAACACACACAATCGGCAAAACCCCTCAATTCTAGTGCAAAATGAAACTTTACATTCAAAACAATGTTATATATTCTCAAAATGTTATTTGTTTTCAAATGACACACACAAACCATCATATGAATAGACATTTATAAGAACAAGTTGAACACTGATGTGCTCAATGTAAAACACTTCTTCTCCATTCATCATAATGAATTAGGCCTTTTTTGTTCAGTGTTACACTTACTACAGACATTACATACATAAGTGTGTTGTAAAATATTTGAGAATATTGTTTTTATACCCAAAAATACACGGTAACAAATATATTTTACTGTATTTTTCCCACAAAAACAATGGGAAATAGATCGCACATTTCATACACCCCATTCAACACAAAGTTGCACATACAGTGGTCTACATACAAAACAACAGAAAAAAATGTTTATGCTGTTACAGTAGAAATCTATGCTGCATCCTCTCTTCGGTTTTGGTATTTTATACTAAAGCTCTGATTGCTAATTGTAAAACTGTGTGAAATGTGTTTGCCCGTGTGACGAGTCAGTGTGAATATTTGAATGGTAGTGTGTTCCTCGTGAAAAGAAGAGATTTTCTGCATGAAAATTGTGCCAAATGCAGAGAATTTGTGTGTAGTGTTTTGAAAAAAGTGTGTTTTAGAGCTGCAATTTGAGTGTAAAGCAGGAATTGTGCTTGTTGTTCATCAGAATTGGTTCAGGGGGTTGGTGAATGAGTTACATGTTGTGGTCATTGTGTCTCAAGTACCAGAATTTGAGTGTAAACAATTGAGAAAAACTGTAACAGAAATGCAATATGACATCCATAACTATGTTTTCAGTGGTGTATAAAGAACTTACTTAATAAACCGTAATGTTTTTATTACCTTAGAATGAGACATTTATATCTCCATAACCGCGGGAATCCCCTTCTATGAAGGTCGCCATATTGTGACGTCATCTTTCTACCGTAGCCGAACGTGAACAAACAGTGCTACAGAACGCGTTTCGCCACTACCTTGAAAGAGAAGCAGCAGAAAGCTAGAAACTAGCCATAAACTCTGTGAGTAGTGACTTTTCCCTTGTGAGTAGTGTAAAATATGTAGTTGGGATTGTTTCATGTAACTTAGTTCTCCCTCGCTGTGTTATGGGTTTGTTATGTGGGGATAAATGTGCTGTTATGTTCGTAAGACAGCTGATTAGTACTCATGTCATTGATCGTAAAACAGTATGTTACAGGAACACTAACCCGTCGGTCTTGTAAGAGATCTAAGTCGATCATGAAGAGTTTTCAAAATCAGAGAAAAAGCCTATTGTGTGTAGTTTATGGTGTCTATGGGATGCGGAAATGCGCACGCTGTTACAATCATGTCATTTTTGCCGCGCACACCTTTGGGCTCATGCGGACGCGTCGAGTTTAAACAAGGCTTTATGCTTTAACCAGTTCAGCCACAGTAACAGCTCATATTAGCCAGCTAAACTTTTACTACCCTGTTAGAAAAAATATAAAGTTGCATAGTTTCATGTGGTTCTTCTCCCTCGCTGTATTATGGGTTTGTTATGTGGGGAGAAATGTGCTGCTGGTTACGTTTGTGAGACAATCAGCTGATCACTATTAATATATTAAATTATATATTAAAACCCTTGATCCTCACCTGACTATGGCTTTGTAAACTGTATCCATGATGTGGTTTATAATGGACTGTGGTACAGAAACAATGGCTTCTTCGAAAGGGAGGGGTGAGCAGTGGGCTAAGCCCTTAGTGCAAACCTGGTGCAAACTTGCAACCGAACCGCTAGATGTCGCTAAAAATCCCACACTGCACCTTTAAACAGGCCTATGAAAATTTCCATTTTAAAAACCTGAATTTCGATGAATATTTTTCAATGCTCACAAATTCAGATACAAAAAAATAAAATAAATCAACGTACAGAATTTCAGATAAAATAGATTCAGGTTAAATTATGAATTATGGGCGTGCTTCTCAGAGTAGTAGCCATGAGCTTAAAAAAAAACAATTTCTGCATTATTTGGCTTGTTTGCTGTACTCCTTGTCTCACAACAGCTTTTAAACATTGTTTTGTTTTTTGTTATAAGTCATAAATGACAAGGAGGCAGTCTCTCGCAATGCAAATCAATGGAGACGGTTGGATTGTTTTTCTCCCCTGGTGGGGGCGTGAGCAGCCGGTAACAAGAAGTAGTCGAAGGAGAACGTCCTCATCTCAGTTCTCGCGCATGTGCCCATAAGGAAGTAATGGAATAGTCGAATAAAGTCGTTATTCATGTTTTTTTCGCAGAAAAAGTAGTCTCGTCGCTTGATAAACTTATAATTGAGCCGCTGTAGGCACATGGAATATTTAAACATTTTCTTTAATGACTTTATGGGCCGTCAAGAGCCAGTTCCTTAGGCAGTCTATGAAGGACTGATCCAGCTCTCAGATTTAATCAAAAATATCTTCATTTGTGTTCCGAAGATGAACGAAGGTCTTACAGGGTTGGTACAGGATGGGGGTGAGTAATTAAAGACTTAATTTTCATTTTTGGGTGAACTAACCCTTTAAAGTGTTGTGCTGTTTTATAAAGGCACAAAGCCATATCATGGTTTCGATTTTAGTTTGTTGGCAAAATATAGCGCTAGAGACCTTTATGTTAGGGTATACATTTTACATCTCATATGTGTTGGGGAAAGTGAGAAGAGATAGTTCAGAAAAAGGCGGTTTCGAACTCGGGTCGAGAGCATCAAAAGCTTCAAGCCCTACGACCTGCGCCACCGTAGCTATTTCGTGACAAGCTTCTTTTGCTAAAAAGACAGACACTTAGTGCAAATATACGCTCTGTTATCTAAAAAGTAAAAAAAAAAAATTCTTCCCCTCGCTTGGGCCCCAAGTGCGCATGGTCAACTTGCAATAAATAAATTTGATCAGATCGGCCCTCGCGGCCTCGAAACACAACCGGCCCACAGGGGAAATTTCCGACTCTCCCGATTGCCACTCCGCCCCTGATGCCCAGGACCCCTTAGATGTCATGGGCCCCTGAGGCAAGAGCCCAGTTGCCCTAATGGTTAATCCAGCCCTGGTGGTCTGTGAGTGGTGTGTGCATCTGGCTCCTCCTAAATGGGCATCCTTTACTGTGCTGATCTGACAATCTTTGGTGGTTGCCACCGGGTATTAATTAGCCCTAATAGAGCATAATAATCCTTTATACACAACAACAATAAAATAGCACAATGACAGGATTGATATGGCACGTTGTAACAAATAAATAAAAGATCTTTTTCTTTTTCACAAAAGTTATCTTGCACTTTTGCCTCCGGCATCGTCCTGTCAGTCATCGCACCTCACTCTAGTCATGTGACTCCTGTGGCTCAACTTACCTCAGTATCTCCAATTTACACTTTATATTCTTCAGTCCAGTGCAGAGCAGCTTCACTCCTGAATCCTGCAGTTTATTATTGTTCATGTTCAGCTCTTTCAGATTGGTGTCTGATCCAAGAACTGCAGCCAGAGATGAACAGCTTTTGTCTGTTAAGTTACAATTATTTAACCTACAATAAAGTCACAACACAGAATTAGATTGAACACATACAATACATTTTCTATATACTAATATTAATGAAATTTTCCTCTTATTTTTTTACATAAACAGCACATACAGCAAAGAGGCTGAGTTAAACTAACATTTACCTTTAAAAACTACAATTTCCTCAACAATAGTGTTTTTATACAGTGACAAATTTCCAAGACAAAATGAAGCATGTTTGAAAAAATATTTGTGTAAAGCTGTTATATCTATAGGATATTTTCTCTATTTATGTCACCTGATAGAGTTTAGGTTCTTGCCAGTGTTGCCTCTGTCTTTCTTAATTGGGGACACTTAATATTAGGGGTGTGCACAAAAATTGATTCACATTTGTATCGCAATTCAAGCTTTACCGATTAAAAATCGATTAATAGAATTCCAGAAAAAAGATTCATATATATATATTAGGCATAACATTTTTTTTTTAAAGTTTGGTTATGGTTGGATGTCAGTTGAGGTCATGGGTTGGTAGGTTTTTTTGTTTTTTTTCTCCAGTGTCAGCAAGGGATAGAAAGGACATTATTTTTTATTTTTATATTTTTTTGTAAAAAGGGCCACGAAATCGATCCAAATTGCGGAGTTCGATTCGTGGTGAAGGTTTCAAGCGCGTTCCGTCTTTTCCAAGCAAAGTGAATTTTAATTAAATGCAACACATTTAATCTTATGTATTAACTCGTTTCATCTGACTCCATAAAATGAAAAGGTTTATCAATGATATCTGTGCATCATTAAATATGTTAATGCTTGACTATTACTTTTAACGTAATGAAAATAAAGTCAAAGTCTGTTAGAATAGCCAAATATAACAATTTATTATGTCAGGTAAATGTATCATTAGAATTCCACAAGATAATCAGAGCAAACCATCAAATGTTTTATAACAAAGAACTTTACCCAACATATTAGGCGACATGAGCTGAGCCTCGAAGAGACACAACATCATGGGCTGATCTGAATACAGAAAGGCAGCCTCGAACTCTTGTTACATCTCCCTTTATAATCAGACCTCACCTGATAAGTAAATCACCAGGATACAATGGAAAGTTACTGAATCCCCCTTCCATGTTTATCGGGGGCAGACCATTTGCTTGGTTGTAATTTGCATTCAGACAACAAGGCAGAAGGTGTTAACTCAAAGACCACACTCCTTTGTGTGACAGTGATTCCTAAACTTCTTAAAAACCTTATTACCTTTTCTTTTATTACTTTGGGAATGAGACATTATTACCAGTCACCCTGAGACCATCAAAATGATTCCAAACAATCCTTAAAGATTATCAGATTCACATTAAAACCATATTCTTGTGTGAGCTTTCAGTATCATTGACTGAGAGAGTGAAAGAGAGAAGATGCAGATAAGATGTTCAGAGAAAAGGGGGTAGGGTGTCAAATGTTAATTTGCAAGTCTTTAAAGGCCACTGGTCAGATATTTTCTCTTTAACCAGTTTTTCCAGTCTTACATTTTATTTTACTTTACAGTAGCGATGGATAGGCTACTCTGTTTTTTCAATAACATAGCCTACCTGTACATGTACTCTACCACCTTGTGTGTCCCAGCATGTTACACACACACAAGCTGATTTTAAATGTGTGCGCGGGGGCAAACAGGGTTGCCTTATTGTAAAGTGTTATCGATTAGTTATACACTTATTCAGACGTCTCGTGAGTTCAGTGTAGGGAAGATTAGTTGCTTTAACCATTCATTAAAATGAATCGGTTCAAATGAGTCAGTTTGCGAATTGGACATGTCATTATCGGATGTGTGCGCGTTGTGATATTATCCCGGCAGTTAAGACATCCCACAAGATTTGTGTCATCACAGAAAACATTTCATCACTGGATATTTTTTTCGTTAATTTAAAGTGTGGTTTATATGTCAGCTGAATGTGTGGAACGCTTTTCAGAGAAGATAAGGCAACGTATATTCCCTCCCAGCGGTAATTCAGGAAAAAAATAAATCCCTGAATGATCCACATGAAACTTTAGTCTTCCGACCTTGCCATCGTCTTATTTTGATTAATATGTGCGAGGGAGAGAGAGCAAGACTTAGTTGTGAGACGGGACTCTCTCTCTCTCTCTCTGCTGGTTCAGTTCATGTTGTCACAAGCGCAACAGTGCATCTACATGACAACAACGATGTGTTAACACCTGTGGGTGCCTCGTTTGTTAGCATTGCTGGAGACAACAGGCTATACAAATACGGTGCTGTACAAAAACATAAATTCTAGTTTGCCTCAAAGTTTTTATTTGTGTATTTACTTAATTTGTATTATTTCTTCCCGAAGCTCATGGGTCGCACATAAATTGACAGGGTCGGTCGGAGACTGGAACCGAACATTTTTTTATTTTTTTTATGCCTTAGTGGTGGGCATATTTATTTATTTTTTTATCTAGATTATTCTCACTGTAATCTTGGAATTAATCTATATTAAAATGGCTCATTTGGATTCATGAAGGCATTCAGGCATTGAAGGCATTCAGAATATGCTAGCCAAATAAATAGGCCTAACCTTGCAGGTAGTTTGTAAGATAAGCAGAGGCGGAGCTAGACTCTTCATCATGGGGCTCTCTGCTACCAAAGTCATTTTAAAATTAAAACCGTACAAAAATATAGATATCTGATGAATGCATACTGTATGTAATGTGTCACTTGTTGAGCCAAGTAAGCTTATGTTAAATAAAACACAAAGACTATCTCGTTCTTTTCCTTTTAATGCGCCCGATTTATATTTTCTCTCCATTTTCCTAATTATTCTCTACATTATACATTCGGACCTCATGGGACCTACTATACGGTATTAAATCGGCTAGGTATACATCTGCGCTAAAATATCAGGGTAAAAGGCATCATAGTATAGACCCAGCTCCCAACCCAACTTTGAGAATAGATTAACGGCAATATTTTTTATCGCTCGATAAGAGTCATTTTAACGCAGCAAGTTAACGCAGATAATGGCCCACCATATTATATTTTGTAATGGCGTGCAGGGGCGGAGTGGCAATCGGGAGACTCGTAGTGTTTTGAGGCCGTGAGGGCCGGTCTGATAATAGTGATACATTGCAAGTTCTTACCATCTGGCGGACTGGTGTGCGGCCGCTGCCCGCTGGTCAAACTGTGCAGCCTCTCTGCTCAACCCGTAAATGAATCCATCGATCCGCATATTTTGTTTGAGTTCTTAAATGGACTAGTGCTAGATCTTTTGCCAAGCGTGTCAGAAGTTGCAGGTTATAATCTGCACTCATATAGTTTTTTCCTCTCTCTCATCAAAACCGAATATGTTCAGTGGTTACAGTCTATATCAAGCAGGGACACATTTATGTGCATTTTATTTTGTGATTTCATCGGCGATAGATTGAAGAGTGCGTCCGAGTGAAGACTGTGCGCACCACAAGAGTATGAAGTACCAGGTTGACAGGTGGTTAAGTTCTTCATTTAGCATGATTGTTTGTTTGATCTGACTACAGCACTTTAAAGCTAAATAGAAAAGCTGTTTATTTAAGTTTTATTTTAAACTTAAATTAAATGTATTTTAGTTTAATGAAGCCCTGGGAATTCTCTGCTCTGAATTCTCTGTTTTTGATAGACTGCGCGTGCGCGAGCGATCGGTTGTTTGTGTTTGTAGCTCCGGAGAATTTCTTCACAAATCCTTGATTTTCTTCTTTACCACTTATTTATAAACAAGCACTTTCTATTTTTATATTATGTGAACTTATCCTCGATAGTATTCCTTATAAAAAACAATTGGATTGCTTTGATATCGCTACTTATATCCAACCTCCCTAATCCTGGCTACTAGCCTTTAGCCCGCTAGCATTCCACGCGTGCCCTCTCGCCTATTGATCGTCTCATTTTACACCCGTTTCACTGAATCCTGGTTATTTCAATCCTAAATTAGTAGTGATAGTTGTAGTATCACTACTAATTTACTGATCATCCGTTATAATGGCGAACATATCAGATGCGTGTCTAACATTACCTTTGAGTGCAGGTGAAGACACATTCGAGCTCTTCACGGTGAAGCAGGAGCTGGAATACGTCGAGAAACAGATCCGCGGTCTGCTGGTGAAGCAAGTCGAGCTGCTGGATCGGCGCTCAACGCTTGAAGCATCACGCGCCGACGCTAACAAATCAAATCACTCTTTGACTCCGAGTTCATCTACGCCGTACGTTACTCTGCCGAGGAAGATGCGACCATCTCAGGCTTTATTCACTCCGGCACCGAAACAACATGGACCATGGATCACACAGCGGAAGACACAAGCCAGGACCAGAACTGCCTCTCCGCCCCTCCCGGTCTTCGAGATCTCCACCCGGAACCGCTTCTCCCCTCTTCGCGAGCCGGAACGCGATGACGCCGTGATCATCGGCACATCCATAGTCCGCCATGTCCGCGCTAATTCGGATAAAGGTAAAGTGCGCACTCACTGCTTTCCTGGTGCTCGTGTTCTTGATGTTGCTGCACAGGTTCCCGAGATCCTGAACGGGGACGAGCGCGTCGGAGCTGTTGTGCTGCACGTGGGAGCGAACGACATTAGGCTGCGGCAGACGGAGGTTCTGAAGAAGGACTATAGGAGCCTGATCGAGACGGTACGCAGCACAGCGCCTAAAGCAGCGATCATCGTGTCTGGACCGCTTCCCACGTACAGACAAGGACAGGAAAGGTTCAGTAGACTATTTGCATTAAATGAATGGTTAATGTCATTGTGTAATGAACAGAGGCTGCACTTTGTAAATAACTGGCATCTGTTTTGGGAAAGACCGAGGCTGTACAGCACAGATGGTCTCCATCCCAGCCGAATCGGAGCGGCTGTGCTGTCGGACAACATTTCCAAGACATTACGCACCAGATGACTAATGAGTCAAAGTCCAAATTACAGCCTTTGCGGTCCAAACTTAACTAATAAGCATAGTGTGGAACATTATATAGAAACTGTGTCTATTCCTCGTTTAGTGAAGCCAAACAA